TTTGGGAACCCTGTGTAGTGGATTATCAGGAGTGGTCTTCCTTCTTAAAAGACTAGTAATTCTAAAATGAATTTAATCTCTCTGGTGAGGGTGGGCACCTGTTCACTAAATTGTCATGTACAATGTAGGCATTTTCTTAATTAATTTACATCAAGTGGAAACTGATTTTTTTATAAAGCTAATAACTTAATACCTTTTTCCCCCCTACAGTCATTTTGCCCAGTATCAGTTATGTAGTAATCCTATCTTTTACTGCACAAATACCCCTTCTTGATTTGTCTCTTCTCCTTTTGATAGCACATGCAGATTTTTTTCCCCTCCTTACTGTAGTTCTTTTTTTCCTATATCCTCTTGTCTCCAGCCTTTTCTCTGGGAATAGAAAGGACAGGGGAGAATGATTACCTTCTGCTCACTTTCAAAATTAAGAGCATTGTAGAAGACTTTATGGCAATCTGTTCTCCAGCTGAAAACAGCTGGTATAAACTCACTCTAGAAATAGTGATAGTTTAAAGATTGCTCATACTTAGTGCTGAAGATTTTAAAATGCACTAGAATTTTGCAGGAAATCTTTATTGAACAAAATAAAACTAACAAAACTTGAATATTGTTCAATAATATTTATCTAGAAAGATTGAATGTCATTCTCAAGATGGTGCGACTGTAAGACTGTAAAAGAAAGGAAGTTTTCTCACTGTTGTAGCAAAAACTTTTTCTGAATTCATGTGGGGCCTTGCAACTTAAATACTATTTTTTTATACCACAAGCAGTTATCTTAATCTCCCCTGACAAAGCTTTTCCATGAAATGTGTTTTCTATTCGTATGCCTTCCCTCTTAGTATGCCACACACTTCTCACACCCACAGCTTCATGACGACAGTACATCATGCTGTAATCTCTTGAAAGAGATTTTGATTTGGCTGCAATATTTCTGGTCATGTTGGATGCTTGGCTGCTATTACATCAGGTCTGGATCATTCTGTGATTTTGCTTTGCTGAAAATTTACACAAGAAGTTTTATTCTTCCTTTCCTATGTTAAAAGCAATAAATAACATTTCTCTAAAGGGAACTACAAAGAATAATATTAAGGAGTTAGCAGGGTGATAGTTACCTGCTTGTCACTGTCTGTGACCATCTATGTTTTTTTGTCATGGAAGGACAACTCTCCTGTACCTGTTGCTCACACATATGAAAAAAGCAAATTGCTATCTCCAGAAACTTTGTGGGAAGGCAGACTGGGTCTTTTAGCCTTTGTTTATGTGGCTGTAGACACAACAGGGATAGGATTAATTCAGTCATAATTAATGTGTGACTTAGTGTTTTTTTCTGTGGATTTTAGCCACCCAATATTAATATTGCCTTGAGCCTTATAATTTCATTAGTACAGCTGGTTATTAATTACTCAGTAGCCATTTTTATTCCATATAGTCAATATTAATTGGTTTAAAATCATAATATACATGGATGATTAATCATTGTGGCAACACCTTTGCTTGAAACCCTGCTTTTGAAATCTTTCAAAATACTTCAGAAATTTGGGAACTGTGGATGATACTGATCTTCCAAAGAGTAGGCTAAATTCTTATCTGGCACTAAATCTTTCGAAGCTAGATGGTTTTAACAGAGGTGTAATAGTTCAACTTTAAAATTTGGGCACTAAAGTTACAGGACTTAAACAAACTAGTGATATACTTCAGCCATATTTTTTGTCTGACTGTGGTAAGAATCTGTAAGTCCAAGGACCCCTATAAGGAATGTGTATGGCAATGATGCAGTGGTTTAGAAAAAGAGACAGTGGTTGGCAAGGGTGTCTGGGCTGAAGCAGTAACAAGTACATTCCTACAAAAGCAGTTCCTGGCTCCCAGCCCAGCAAAGTTCAACAGGATTCAGGCTTACTTAGCCTTGGACTGATAACTCTGCTGTGCATTTGCTTATTTCCCTTACTGGCCAAGGTACATATTTGATTTACTGCAGTCACTTGGGGAGGAAGACAGCAATAAAGGGTGTGAGTTTAGGAAGCTTCTCAACTATATACTGTTTCTTCCAGGAAATAAGATTATGGAATTTTGCTGCTTTTCTGACCCTGGAAAGAGGTGGACCCTTTCAGTCAGTTTTGCAAACCTTTGTTAAAACAGGGATGGGAATCTTTAGGTTCTTACCTACAGAGTAAGTTTTGTAGCAGACTGGAGGTGTAATTTGGTATTGAGGATAGGAAGCCATGGCCTGGGTAGAAAATATCAACTTGTAGGAAGACAGACTTTACTCTAGGAACACTAGAGTGTTCATGAACACTAGAAATCTAGTGTTCATGAAATAACATGCTGATTTCTATTAAATGTGACAGTTTATGAATATTCATAGCTGCTAAATTACCTCAAGGAAGAAAAAATATTTTAAGGGATACGTATTACTTTTGCATTTAAATACTATCTTGTTAAAATTACTGATATTTATTTTACTCAACATTGCCTATAAGTTGTGCTCTAAACCTTAATTAAGGTTATTCAACTTGGCTTATATTCAGCATACTCCAAAGATAGCCTATGCTGCAAATTACAATTCATCTTGCATTTTTAATTTGTTTAATTTTTTCTATTCTTCTGCTAGAAAATATGCATCTCATAGATACTTTACTTTTTAGCAGTGAAGTTCATGAAATAGTAACTCTCTTTCACTGTCTCACTTATTTCTCTTAATCAAAGTTCTTGTGTCTCTCTATAATTTCCTAGTTGGTAGTAAATCTTGACAGGGTAAAGGATATATTTTTATTATATATATCACCTAATGTAGAGGGGAAGTAAGGGAAGACTTACTATTTGGAAGTCCTCCTGATTACTCTCATTGAAATTAATTGCAGTCAGGCCTAAGGAGTGATAAGCAGTACGTCTGTCTCTTTACTCTTTTCTTCCTGACTGTGTGAACTTCTCAGATGAACTTTTTTGCAGGACTGCTTTTTTTAAAATTTGTTTTTTTTTGTTTCTCCTAATAGTTCAGTTCTTTCTGAGAGCATCTATGCCTTTTTAGTTGCTTAAGCTATAATTAAAATTTACTTTTTAAATTATGTTTATTGTGCTTTGAAGTAGCTTATGAGTACCCATTATTGAGGCAAAATTCAGGTTGGACCCTAGAAAAGGCATCCAAGGATCATGAAAACTGTTGCTGTCCACAGACAATGTCAGCCTTCAGATAATTTATTTCAGCCTCGTGAGAAAAAATAATACACTTAGGACAAGGAATAAATCCTCAAAATACATTTTTTTGAAAAAATATATCATTTTATTGGATGCTGTTTCCAAAAGTAAAGTGAACTAACTTTCTGCAGGAATGGTTATCATAAACTGGAGTTTTTACAAAAACAAATAAAATACATGAAGATTAATTTTTTTTTCCTACTATTCACCAGAAGAATATGTCAGATAAATGAGTAAGAGTGTTATGTGTGTAGAAATTAGCCTTTAGCTTATAGTAGAACTTTAAAGAAGTTCAATAAAACTGGAACTGGAGAATGTCTCGGTGCCACTCTTGTAGAGTTTGGGATTCCAGACCACTGGGACAAAAGTTGACATAAGTGCAAATACTTTATGAGCAAACATCATCTGTGCCACACTGTAGATATGTGCAGAAGTAGAAATACAAATTTTTATGTAAAGTTATATGAAGTAACTGTGATAAAAGACCTACTAAAGCTTGCAAGCTTGGAAAGAAAAGAAAGATTTTCTTACTTAAGAAGCTTATGTTGCAAAGAATAAATTTTTTTTATATGAATGTTATGCAACTGCACTTAAAATAGGAAACCAACCCTCTGAATAAACAAGAAAGCATAACTTTTTGTAAAGTTTTGAGTAGCACCAGATGTAAAAAAATGAATAATACCACAACATTCTACAACCCCCAAAATGCTAAACAGTGGATAAACTGTTGAATATGAATGAGTAATATAGGTTAGACAAGATAAGGCAAAAGATGACTCAGTCAAAGCCAAATTAAAGTTTTGTTAACAAGAAAACAATGTCATTGGATGCTGTGAACTGCAATGAAATTCTAAGGAAAAATGACTGAAAATTCACATTGTAGAAGTGCCATACAACTTTCACAGCCAGTGTTTCATTGGCTCTCTTTAATGACCTTAAGACCCCAAAATGTTCCATAAGGCAGTGTTGTTGCTTAGTTTTTATTTTAAAAAGGGGTTTATCTGAAACATCAATCAAACTTAAGATATTTTCTGTCTTTGAATAGAAAGCACTATGAAACATCATCTCTTTCTTGTCTCTGACCTGACACAGAGCCAGCAATATTTATCTACCCTTGGTTGAAAGGCTAGTGATGTAGAATCCGTGGCCTTGCTTTGTAGCCTAATTTACTACTTGGTTATTACTGTAGTTAGAGGTTTTTTAATAGTCTTTTTAATAATTTTAATATTTTTTGGCTGTGAATATTTCTATTTGATGTAGTCACAGTGAGCAGAGGGGATCTTGGCTCTTTTTTCCTTAGTATGGGAAGAAAGATTTTAACCTACTGAGTGACTGGAATACTGTTTCCATGCACTTTTTGCAGGTCTTATTCTCTTTCACCGCCTTCTCTTTTTCTCTCCAGAGAGAAAATATCTTTGTCTTTCCTAAGAATGCATATCACCAAATTTCCAAATCCAAAGTTATTTCCACTATAGTCTTTTGCATCTCTCTTTTTTTGTTTCCTCAGGACTGGACTCTGGGGTGAATTCAACCAAAGCTTCACAAGTGCCTAGCACAGCAAGCAAATGTGTTACATGTACCATATATATTAAGATAGTGAAAGAGCCTGTTAGTATGTGAAGCACTCATTTTGTATTTGTGCATTTAACTGTTTCTTCCCAGATCTAAACATGTATCTTTTTTTATTACGTGTTTTCTCGTTAGGATAGTGTGGGAGCATTGAGAGGAAGGAGAGCTACATTTAAATGGGAGAATTACTGTGGAAACCTGGCAGATCCCTCTCGACACCAATGAAGAAGTCATCAAGAAGAAAAGAGTCAGACTCTTCACAGAGGTGGGAGGATGACAGACTATGGATGTGAGTGGAAATAAAAACAGTTGAGCCTGAATATAAGAGAAAACTTTTTCAAAGTGAGGGCAGTGCAACAGATTGCCTTTGGCAGGTTGTAACTGCAGTTTCTGCTGTTTCCATACTTGTTTTTGGCCAGTCAGGTCTTTAAAATGTTTTTGAGAAACTTCATCTGATCCTTTGTGCAGAAAATTAGATTAAAGGTGTCTTGAGGTCCCTTTCAATTTAAGTTTTCCTACAATTATTTGTGTTTTTCAAGGGTTCTGACTTGATATCTGAGATGCTAACAATCCTCTTCATCAAGGGACCAAACTAAATACTTTAAATATAATTTTATTTCATGTTAAATCATTATTGAAAATACTGACTAGCACTGGATTCACTGCAGATCCATCCAAATCCCATCTTGAGACTGAAAATTCTGACTTAGGACATGAGTGTGTTTTAAAATCAGGTATTCATGCACTGACATTTCCTGTTAATTTTATTTTCCTGATGTGAGAATATCATGCAGGTATGTGAAAAAGTTTAGGTAGATAACATAAATGTCATATCTATGTCTTTCTCCTTATCATCTAGGCCAGTAATCCTACTAAATATACCAAACAAATCTGGCATAATATAATTTATCACTTTTCTATTATTGCTTTTTATTAGCCTATTGTCTTGGTCATAGTAACTAATAATTTAAGTATTTCTTGCTGGAATTTTCCTAAGCACTGGCAAAAATTCAATTAATACATATTAAAATGTTATTTTTGACAGACACTGGTGCAGCTTTGGTTTTCTCTGTTTCTGAGAGACACTTTTGTCCTCTGAATTGTTAAGGATGGCTTTCACCAGTTCCTGAAATTCTTTAGGGGGAGCTTTTTCAGGTCCAGCTATATTGAAAATATCTATCTTGTCTTCATACTTTAAAGATGTCCTTTCCTTATTTTGGTCCATGTTCATCTCTCCTTTATTATCAATTGTGTCATTAAAAAAAAAAAAAAAAAAAAAAAAAAAGTAAATGTCAGTATTTCAATCTTGTCTGTGTCATATGTTATTGTTGTTCCAAAGATATAGTGCACATATTTTTTTCTGGTTTTTCTCTTATATTCAGTAAAAGTATAGAATGTTTCTGATGCAATCACTGAAATTCTCCTTGAAACCTTTTATATTCCTTGCCAGCTGTAATTCATTTTGTGTATTCCTCTTTTGATTTTATTTTTCTGGGCTGTGTTTCTCCCTCATTAATTCTTTTTATATGTTATATATATGTTTTTATATGTTATATATATGGGGTTTTTTATATGTTATTCTTATTATATGTTCTTGTTTTCACTTTTTGTGTGGTTCCCCTCTAATTTTCATGCTATTTAAGAGTTATGAGTGAGACATGAGACTAGTACTGAAAACAATTGGAAAAAATCTACAAAATAAAGATTTACAAATAATCATGTGCATCATCCTCCCTCAATGGTCTGGCAACTAAGTTAAATCCCATCTGTCTTTCAAGGCTGCTGGAAATATCAAGACGAATTGAGTGTATATTGTGGCACATATAGAGGTGGTTGGGTCATAATGCCTAGGTCACCAAGAACTCCTTTTTCCACCCCAAAGGATATGCATGACCAATCTGGAATCAAAGTCTGTCTCTGGAAACCCAGAGGGGCCATATACCAGTCAGACTTGACTAAGTCTTTCAGAGATCATAGAATTAATTGCAGTAACAGCTAAATTAATTTACACTTTCCATTTGATTTAATTGCAGTTAAATTAAATGCAGTCCAAATGGCAAAAGGAAACAATTAAAATACAAGCCATTCCCAACAGACCTCATGAAAAAAAAAAGGAAATAACCTTTCCACTGCAAATTATACAAACAGCCTCATTATTACAGAGCTCTCCGTAGACTTCTGGGAACTGACTGACTTCTTGGAACAGTTATGGATAAAAAAATAAAATATTTGGGCAAAAATAGAGTGCCAAACAGTACCATTTGAGAGAATGAAATTCAGTGTATTCATAGCTGGTCTGTACAATTTACTGTCAAATAGAAATTGAGCCATGCCTTACTGCCATAAAACAACAACCACTCACCACTGTTAAACTGAGTTAAAACTGTTAAGGATTTGTCAAAGAAAATTGTCCAAAATCAAACCATTTTATATATATAGCAAATCATTTTGGAAATGAAAGTAAATGCTACCGAAGGCCTGTTTCATCTGCAACTTAGCAGAGTGCAGGATGCCACGTTTTTCTGGTGTGCCAGGATTGGAAAGGATGGTGTAAAGAGTTACAAGCAAAAAAGTACTAAAGAAGCAACTTGCTGCTTCTAAAAGACTTGCATGAACTACAGCTGGTCAGGTTGAAAGTGGTTCTTTGGGACAAGTCATATATTAACTGGGAGTTGGTATCTACTTAATATATAGGCAACAATTCATATTAACACCATATTAAGTATTTTTAAGTGGAAATACTTGTTTACTTAAAGGACAGCTATATTGGATCATCAGGAATGCAGTAGGAATGTAGTTTTGAAGACAGTGAAACCTATGCTCCACTGTTACTTAGCAAGCAAGAAGCAGAAGGAATAGGTCAACAGGTTATCTTTAGACATCTATACAGATTTGCAAAACACCAAGAACTAGAATAACATGGGAGATAGAAAAAGTATCCTGCCATCACATGAAAACCATTTGCTCCAATGCAAAACTGTTAAAACTATTCAACAAATTGCAAGGCCAGTTGGCTTTATCTTGTGTTACTCAGACACTTGAGGAGTGATAGGGATGTAGACTACTGAAGAAGGAAAATTATTACAGTGCATTTAATTTTATTTCTTCACAGTAATCTATATCAGTATACCATCTTATGGATCTATACATCTAAAAAGTCTTGAAAAGATAATTTTAAAGAATCTGTAGTCCTATCTAACATGTGAAGGACCAGTAACTTCAAATTACAGAGAAAAAAGTAAAGCATTCTTTCTATATCCTGGCAGCCTGAGACTGCCAGGGTATAGAAAATCTTTCACTCTTTACATTAATGATATAAATTTTAAATTGTGTAAAAAAATGATATATATATAAGTAGGACATGGTATTCCTATTTAATTATACTGTCTTGAATAATTGTGACAAAATTAATATTCTGGTGGATATACCCTCAGTAGGGGCATTGTATTGTGGCCACATCATTATATACAAGATGATATCTAGGAAGTGGCACAGTCAGTGGAGGAAGGAATAAATCCTGAGCATCGCAGTGGGTTGCCTGTCACTCTTGGTTATGTGTGAATGCTGAACCCTGCCTGTGCCATGCTTTGGGTGCTTTGCCAATTTTGAAGCATGAGCAGAGACTCCCTTTTTTGGATGCAGGTGCATTCACATGCAATAGGAAGCTTTTCTCCCTGTCTCAGGCTTAACATCACTGCTGCCTCATTCCAGTGGGGCTCACACTTGAGATCCACATGCAGGCCTGGTTATTATTACGCTCCCTGGACTCCACCATTGTGCCAGTGCTGGTGCATACAAGCTCAGTTTTCAGTCTGGCTGTGTGCAGCTGGATATTAGTGTTGTATAAACCAGCCAGCATTGTGTAAACCCCATCCATTTGCTGAAGTCATCCAAGATAATTATACTTTTAAATCCACCATGCTGTTGCCAAATCATGCACTCACGAAAGGCAGATGCTGTGAATTTTCCATGGAGTTCTGCAGCAAATCCACTATGTGAAGGGGAACGAGGTGCATTGTAAAACTTCCCCCTTGTCTTTTATAATGCAGGAAGGGTTTAATTAGACATAAATGAGTTTGATCAATGAATCATTAACTTCCATTAAACTTTAAGTAGATTGCCTGACCCAGCTACTTCATTCTGAATTTAATCTGGTATACACTTGATAATTAGAGTTAAAGGGACAAGGGCTGGAGGCAATCCTTCTCAATCCTTCACATAAAATGGAGTTGAGTCAGCTAATAATTTTATAGTCAGTGTGTAAGGACAGAATTGGCCGTAAAATGTAATTTTCCTAGAAAAACGGATCAGGAAGCAGACTGTCACTTTGTTTTGCTTTCAGAATTACCTCAGGAATTACCTGCCCGAGGTCTTCAAAGCCTTCACAAATCCCATCCTCTTCAGTACAGCAGCTTGGAGGATTAGATTTCATGAATACAGTCAGAAACCAGGTGGCAAGGCAGGCAATCTCAAGTCTTTGCAAGAATGCTGGTGTAGCTCTCCCTGTGGTTAAAAAAATTTGATCTGCCTTGTCTAGATCCATGGGCTGGGGAAGGAGTGACAGAATGGAGCTTTCTGGCAGCTTCCAGCCTTAGGAAAAGTAGAGCCTTGATCTGCTGGCTTTACCAGCACCTGATCCAAAACAGCAATTGGCATTTCTTGTGTGTGCTGGCTGCTTGTTTTACTGTTTGGAAAGGGCAGGCTTGCTGGCTGGGGTGGCTCTGCCTGGCCCTATGCTGTGCAGTAGGGATGGATTCTTGGGAGGTATCAAGTTCATATATGAAATGTTTCAATTATCAAACTGACTTAAAGAACCAGATGTTTGCTACTTGTCTTTCTTCTACAGAAATATGTTCTTCTGTCCTTCCTCTGAGCTGTAATACTCTTCTTTCTGCGTTCAGATTAGGTTATTCTGAGGGATACTGGATGATTCAAAGTGGACTCCCTTTTCCTGGTTTAGTATTTGCTTTATTCCATCTGGAAGGCAGAACATATGAGTCTGTTTTGAGTTGGATGCTCTGGAAACAAAAGTTAATTGTGCTGACACTGTGGTATCAAAGACTGTTTTAGTGGGCAGTCCTGCTGGTGGTATCTGTGGCTACTCACAAAAAAGCTTATTTAATGGAATGAGAATATTGCTCAAAGATGTACACAAACCCATTTGAGGAAAGAATACTTTGAAACCCACAGCTATTCAGCCTGATGTGAACACTATGACCAGTGCTAAAGTGTGATAAAGGAGAGGGCTGCTACACCACCTTTCCCTCTGGCCTTTGTATTTATTGGTAA